AATTTGGTATAATTAATTTTTTTTTTAAATGAAAAAAGAATAAAGATTTTATAAAAATAATATATTTATGTATTTATAAATGGAATCATATAATTTTTAATAATTGACGCAAAAAAAAATATTGAATTTATAAAATAATAATTTTGCAATTTTATAGTATTTTATTTGAATAAAAAATAAAAATTTCTTTTTTAGAAAACTTTTATGAGTGATTGTATATACTACTTTTCAATTATATATAATGTTATATTAAGCTTTATTATTAATAAATCTATAAAAATTTATCTTTAATAGTAATATTTATATAGACATTAAATATTATCACTCTTTAAAAATGACTTATTTATTCGTTTGAATGTCTATTGTGATAGTTCACTGTGTAATAGGAACTTCACAATGGTTAATTTACGACGTTGCAAATTTTTTTGCAACTGTCAAATGTAGTCAATAATGTCAATGAACTTTTACGGAAATATTGGTTTGAAATATATATTTTGCAATAATTAATTAAAAATGCATTGTTATATATTATCTTTCAATATAGTGCATTATTATAATCATGTGTATGAGATTCCATTTAATTTATATATAAAATCGAAGATAAATAATAAATAAAGCTTAATTTTTATTATTTATTATTTATTATTTATATTTTTATTATTTATTATTACATGTAATAAGTACATAATAATGCAAATATTTTTTACGATTTATTTATTATTTTATCATATCTTAAATAAAAATATAATTTTAAATTAATTTTATGAAATTAACTAAAATAAATTGTTTAATTGATAAAACATGAAAAATTTATTTTTCAAATATTATTGTAATTAATTTGTATATAATTTACTACAGCAATCGCATTATAATCATAGAAATAATAATTTCTTTTATGATCATTGTCACTGTTTCGCTAGCTTAAAATTAGAGCTTTAGATTTGATAGCATGAGCATTGTCGAAAGTTTTACGATTTGATGACTATTGACATTAAGGACACAATATACTAATCGTGCCGCATATGTTCCCATTGAAATAGCTCAAATAAATAGAAATCATGAGAAGAAAGATAATTGTTAATTTGATCGTTATAAAAAAATTTATAGGAAACAACAAAATATTGTATATTTTAATAATTATTATTATAATTAATTATGAAAAAAAGAAAATAATAAAAAAATTAATGAAAAAATTAAAAAAATATATTTTCCAATATTGTTTAATTTACAAATAATTTATTTTTATAATTATAATTATATATATTTTAAAAATATTATAAATATATATTTATAATATTTTTAATTTTATATTTATATATTTTTAATAATAATAATAATAAATATTTAATTACATATTTTTATGTTTGAAATATTCATATATATAACTATAAAAAAATAGTTTACATAGTTAAAAGTTTTATTCAACATTTCATTTAAATTCACGCTATTTATAAATGACATCTTATATGTATATTAATACGAAGTTTATTCAGAAATAACACACAATATGTACATTGGATTAGAAAATTTGAATTTCATTTTAAGCGTAAAGTTTCAAACGTGAAACAAATTTATGAATGCGTAGTGTCGTATATGGTCATACTTTAATCGAGGGTAAAGAGAACTGCGCACAAAATTGCCATAGAACTAACGGAATCGTTTAGTCCGCTCGTCGACATGTCACGAAAATCGAGCGTTAACGTAATTAAGTAATTAAACCTCGCGGGTGAAATCGGACCGTACCTTTCCCATTCAATGTGTCGCGTTCGCTGAAAACCCGCACGAAAACTGCGCGCGTTTCAGCCCCGCGGCGTGGCAGCCTCTGTCACTGTGCACGCTCCGCTACTCTGTGGTCGTTCGTAAACATTTGTCGGGTACAATGTGTCCAACTGACAAAAGGAGCTTGTGCAGTACAGCGCGCGCGTTTAAAAGCATTAATTACGACCGCTTTTGTCTCTCTGCAAAAGGCACGCTTTGAACGTCATTTTGATACGTGACATTTGATTTCACGAACGTTTTGTCATGTTTAAAATCGGCCCGATAAACGCGTGTACACGCGTCGAACAACACAGACAACTTTCAACCTATCAACGGTTCAGAAAACATAATATTCTTTATTTTCTTTTTCACGCGACTTTGTACATTGTTTTTAATGGTTACGCCAAATGTTCCGTGTGTGAAAAATGTATAAGTAAACGTAAATATTGTGTAATAATTCTCTTATATCGTTTATTCTTTTTATGCAATTATAATTATCGTTCGAAATTAGTGAAAAAAGTGAAACGAATTAATGGGATATGTGTAAATATATTCATTATTTATATTAATTATAAATTTATTTTTTATTATAGTTATTTTTTACGTTTTTCTACTTTATTGATTTAATGATTTACTAAGTATTTCACATTTAGCAAATATCATTTTAATTTTTATTATTCAAAACACAATTTTATAAAATGATTGTGTTTTATAAAATGATTTAAATATGCCGTTATCATATGCCTTTTATATGCATAAATTAATTGAAATAATAGTTAATAATTTAAATATTTCTCATTTAATCTCATTAATCAAATTTTTATTAAATCTTTATTTATTTTCATAGATTAATACATCCCCTAATAATAATATATTTTTTACGAAAAAATATAAATATAAATACAAAAAATTATACAAAAACATATTGAAAAAAATTATTGTTTTTTTCTGATAAGATTGTATAACAATTGACTTCTGTAGATAAAGTAGAAAGCCGATTATCCGGGCAAGTAGTGAACTGGTTTGATAAATTTTTAACAATATATTCAATTTATTTTTTTTAATAATGATATTAATTATTAAAATACATATCATAAGTGCAAAAAATTTAGATTTAAAAATCTATAAAATTAAATATTAAATGATCAAAAAATATTATAAATTAGACTTATAAAATTATAAATATTAATTTGTTATTTTAATATTATTTAACAATTTTTTCATTTTTAATTAATGCAATCAATTTTGCAGTGAAATTCTTCTCATGATTAATATATATGTGATATAAAATTATATGTATTTATAATTTTTATAACAATCTTAAAAATTAGGATTTCAAATACAATGATTGATGTATTGAATTGAATTACTTGATGTATTGTATTGAATTGAATGTATTGAACTCAATTATGTTAGTAAACATTATTCAAAATCCTTACTATTATATTTTACAAATTATCTATTGAAAATTCCGTACAAGAAAATCTTGAAATCAGAACAAAAGTTACAAAGCGTGATTTTAATGAATAGATTCTAAAATAAATTACTATACAAATATAAAAGAAAAATAATGCGAAGAATGATGAAGGATGAAGAGTCATTTTTCATGAAATGGAGCACGAACGTCACTTGACAATCTTAAAGCAATGCATTTGTTTGGGTCAGTTGTCTCGCATTCAGCTACCATCGGTTAATCCCTAGGATCTGTTAAGTACACAAATGGCCCCAAACAGTCTGCTACCGAAAATGTAAACCATTCACTTTTGTAAGCGAACTAATTTATGTAAACAAACATTAAAACTTACACAATCATCATTATCGCATCGTAAAATAACAGAAACGTAATTGAATCTATTGTAAATATTTAAATAGATAAGCGACTATTATTAAAATGAAATGAATTTTTATTATGAAATATTTTTTACATTGAAAAGCATCTATATTATAAAAATAAAAAAATTTAAAAAGTTAAAAGAATTAAAAAAAAAAGCGTTTCGTACAATACATATGCAATGATTTTGTTTGATATATGTTTAGTATCAAATTGCATGGAAAAAAAATGTATACAAAAGAGAAAAGTGGTCATTTTATGGTCTGTTAGTTCATGCGTTGCCATTTATCAAAAGATTCATTCGAAAAAGCTAAAACGTAACCTCTGAAATTCAACAAGTGCCCCTCAAACTTGAGCGAGAGAGAATAAACGAGTAAGCGAATAACAACATCCAACCTCTATTACGTGCGTGACGCGACTGATCTCCCGTGCGGGGAGTGGGGAGATGACGATCCTGTATGATGCAGTGGGGGTAGATGATCGGTCGAATTCGGTGCAATTCGTACATCGTCGGTTGCGCTCGGCTTCTGGTTTCTCCCGCGGCCGCATAAGCGGTGTCAGCGTGTGCGCAGACCGGCTGCGCAGCAGGCGTGTGCGTTGTCCAGATTCTTTGTGCCATTCCTGGCATACCAAAAACAAGAGTGGTGACTGCGCTCGTATTTACCGGGGTGCAGCCTTGCGCGCTAATATTACTGTGCGAATTTTACCCGTGGTGTAAAGGCCCCGCGCGCGCGCGACGCCACGTCAGCTCGCCCAGTGGTAAGTACATTAAAGAAAATAGTGTCGAAACATCCTCGAAAGAGCGCGTCTATTCGTCCACGCCCGTGTGTCCCAGCGGCGTCGTCTCACACAGGGGCCGCGCACGGAACGGATTCGACAGCAGCGACGACGGCGATATACACACCGTCAGACACGGACAGACGGACAGACAGACGAAAGGGAGTGAGAGACAGAGGGAGCAATAGACGCTTGTGTGAAAGAAAGAGACAAACAGACAAACTGACCGTGCGATAAAGACAAATATTACGGAGGAAAAGGGAACATAGACGCGACATAGTGCGTGAACGTGTATATACGTGTCGACGTTATCCGGTTGATTGTGCTCTGTATCGGTTAAAAATATTACCGATCTCTCGCATATTCCTCGTGTGTCGTGATTGTCAGGTTCGTATTTCCGGTGACCGTGATGTTCGTATTGCTGGCTCCGTGTTGCTGTTAATGATACTCTGTTCCTACTATTGCTATTGAGAGTAAGAAGGAAAGAGCGAGTAAATGTATATGTGAGAGCGAGTAAGAGTATGAGAGAAAGGATAGAAGGAAAAGAGAGGGAGAGAGAAGGAGAGAGAGAATGACAGAGAGTGTGATGAAACGATAGTCGGATCAGTTTGATAAACGAAGAGCTCGAGTTGTGCCGGTCTATCACATCTATCCGTGCGGTCTGGTGGTGCATTGGTGCATCCGTCTTTGTTCGATTGTCGCGTGTTTACGAGCGTTGTGTCAGCTGTGTGTCAAGCGAACGGTTCAGTGTATGTGTGTTACCGAAGCGTGTGCAGTCTCTCTGGCAACGTGTACGGACTCGCTCGCACGGAGACTCGTCGAGGAGGTTAGGACGAAGCGCGATCGGTCGGCGGTGTGCCGGTGGTGGTGGGCTGCGTGCGTTTCCCCGAGGAGAGCGCGCCACGACAGAAACGTGTGCCTCTGCCTAGTGCCTGCGTGCCAGCCCGCTCGCTCACCCGCTTCTGGTGAATTCGTATGGTGAATTATTGATCCGCGGCGGCGTGTGCGTGCGGAAAAACCGCGCGAGTAAAAGAGAGCGATTCACGGTGTATAGGAAAACCGAACGGATAAACGGAGAAAACATTGAAAGAAGACAGTAACTACAAACCGGCTCCCGTTTATACCGGTGTCTTTTGTTTTGAAAACTGTGCGCGCGCGAACACGCACTTCGCATTATACATATATTACGGCTTTTAACAAGCTCTGAAGGTGGAACAGTGGTGGCAGCGACGGATTTTCTTTCCCCTAGGCGAGACCAAGCGAGAAGTGTTCGCACATATTCCATTACTCTCAACGTAACACGCGTCTACGTGTCTCTCCTTTTCTGTCATTCTCTTTCATTCTTCTCCTTTCTCCCTCTTTCCTCTTTCTTTCTCTTTCTATCTATTTCCCTGCTCTTTCTTCACCGCTCTCGCGTGTTATATGTGTTTCTCTCCGTCTCGCTCTGTCTACGTTACCTTCGCCGCGTGTGCGTCAACGAAACTAAACGCGGGAAAAGCTCGGCGCGAAATATATTCGAGGGGAATGTACACGGTGCTTATCGTGAAACGCGGTGCGTTTTCGTTGCTCAACCAGTGAGTGCCTCAGTGTAGAGATACGAGAATACGGGATATTTAGACGGGAAGCCCGTACAAAAGCATGTTGTCGTCGTCGTAAGACGACGACGACGACGGTCGCGACAACGACAACGACAACCATCACGACGATAAACGTTCGAGGAACTTAAACGCGACGCTGTACGCTTTGTCGCGCTCTTTCGAGTCTTGATAATCCAGGACAAGCAAACCCTACCTTCACCACCGCGACTTGGATGGATACTGTGCATTATTTCTGGAGTGAGTTTCTCTTTTAATCATGCGCTTGTGTATGTACGGATATACACTTGCATGGAACTGCGTTTACCGTGTGTTCTGTGTGTATGTATGTGCATATGTGCGTGTATGACATGTGCATATGTGTATATGCACATGTGTGGATGTGATGACGAGTGTCTTGTAATGTGCAGTACCGCGTTGCTGGACTTTTTCTCTCGTGGCTCAACATTGTCGCCGTCGGGACACGCGTTCGTGTAGACAACTTTACGATTATCATTTTATTTTTTCGACCTTTTTTCACTACGTAATATCATTCACAAATATTATGTTACAATTTTTCTTTTAATTTTTAATATTATGAATAGTAAATATAAGAAAAGTCCAATTGGACTTCATTTATATCTATAATAGATAAGGTTAATTTTTTTGAAAAAGTCGGTATATGCAATTATGATTTGTTTGAAATCTCATTTCGCATTTGTATAATAAGAAAAATATCATCGAAGTGACAGTGATTCTAATACTATAACGTTATCACAGTAGGTTATCAAAGTAATTCCACGGTAACATGGTAACACGCCATTACATAAATTTAATCGGATACTTGTTATCGTGGCTAACCGGGTACGACCAGGTACGCTGTTTGGTAAAGATTGTTGCCGTCGATCGTGCATTTCGCATTTCAGTTTGTTAACGTTAACTTTTTTTCTGTCATTGACTTGTTCGTATTTCAATTAGAAACTAGTTAGCTGGAACGTTCGAACGGTAGTTTTCCGCTTTATTGTGATTATAAAGTGAGCGTAATATCGGTTTCATACTTCGCTATTATAAACTTCGTTGCGTATATAACGTTTATGATACGCAATGAGATTGGATAACCAAATTATTGAGAAACTAAGTATATATCATTAGAAAAATTACGTGAAAATTGTTCGATATGTGTTAATCATATTTTTCGATTTATTCTTATCGACTTCCATTTAAGATTCAAAAGGAATATCGGCTATTATTTTTGCCACTCACGTTCACAAAATGATAGCACGTGTATGTGTCGCGTGCACGTGTATGTGTCGCGTGCACGTGTACGTCTTTATAAGTTTATTGTGTAGCGTGAATGGCAATTCAATATTGTTAGAAAATTAATTTGATTTTAAATTGTTGATTTTAATGATGTCATGATACGTATGGTTGAAGTTGTAAATTTTTGTTAACACTGGTGTATTATTTTTATCCATATCTTATCTGTTCTATCCAATTTAATTGAAGAAATACCTCAAATTGAAAATGCAGTTTAAATGCGAGATTATAGATTATAAATAGGCATGATGAAAATTATATATATTTATAAATTTCGTCCTAAAAATATTAAAAAATTAAATTAATATAAAATAATGAAATAATTTTTATGCAAATCATAATCAAATCTTATCAAAGTAAAAATTATTATGTTATTAGATTTTTTAAGCTCTCTTTTATTTTAATTATTTATATTTTTATTTTTTATACATTATTTTCACTTTAACTTTCTTTTTATTTTTATCTCCTCAAAAAGATTTTTGTATTTCTAAGGAAAAATATTTTACCGAAATCGCCTCTCTTTCGAATCTTTTTAAACTATTCTTATACCCTATACTGAAACAGCATCATATTCGAAAAGTTTTCACAAATTTCTAGTCTCTATTCGCATTGCTAGCTTTCTACAACTCGTAAAAACTGCAATAATTCAAATGCACCTTTGCTATTAAATTTTCGCTTGTGTGTGATTTCTACTATTGTAATAAACTGTAATGTACTGATAATAAAAACGAAAGTCTATCTCCATTAGTAATTTGCTTAAAGATAAAATTATTAAACTAAGATTTACTAATCTTAAATTGGATTCTAGATGTTACATAAAACTTTAGCAATATTTTTACCAGAAAAACTAGTTGAGAAGCTATTGTTTCGAATAAAATTGATTATGATTCCAATTTATTTCTTCTTATTAAGTGATATAATTAGTATAATTTTTAAATCTAATAAAATTTTTTTAATGTTAAAATTAATAATTTCAAGTGTTTTTTATTATATTATTAAAAAATATAAAAAATCAAATAAATATATCAAATGCGTATTAATTATAAAATATAATAAAAATTTCATAGGGAGATATTTTATGAAGAAAAATTGCATATTATCAACTTAACCTATATCGTTTACATTATGTAAATTGGTTGATGTAAAGCTATTTAATTATCCGTTAAATTCTATAAGCCAATGATATAGTACATGATCGCAAAAGTGTTAATTCATTGCCAATGTTTGCCAAAAATCAAACAAACCGATCAAAAATCTTTGAATAAGCACGATCAATGCGTATCGAAGTTTTTAAGCAAGACGGATAAAAATCTGTGGCTCTGTGTATGTTGGGGAAGGGATAAGTTCGGTACAGCAACGCTGCGACCAAGCAGCGGCGGCAGGTGCAACCTGTGTTTCTTCGAGCTGTTCCGCCCTCCTCGTTCCTGCTGGCCGAACAGCTCGTTTTTCTTCTCGAAGAGCAGAGAGCGCGATGCACGCACGCGAACCGCGGAACCGGTAGCGCGGTAATCGGTAATCGATGAATTCGATATTCATATCACCTTCGCTAAACTCATACACACTTTCTACGCTTGATACCAGAGGCTTTTTATCTGTTCGCCTTATCGGCATGTTAAATATTGGAGCTTCGATAACGTGTTTTTTTTGTTTTCTCTTTTTTTTTTTATTTCAGGTAATCGTCTTTATTTCACGAATACGATTGGTTTTTTATATTCTTTGTCTAATTTTAAAATTCGAATTTCATATTATTTTCTTACGATTCTTTGTTCGTAATGTTTGATTTTAAGAATTTCGTTTTTCATTTTTACGTATTTCTATGAAAGAACTTTTATATAAAAAATAATTTCTTTCTTTAACGTAGAATAAAACCAAATTGTAATACAACTTAATAGGATCTTTATCACTATTTTCAATACTAAATTGAACTTTACAAATTTTTTCACAAATATCAAATTTTTGATTAAAGCAAAAAGAAGTACTTAAGCATTCATGTAGATTACCTCTACACGAGTCTCTACGCCATTAAGTGATTAAAAGCAACATAACCTAACCTCTTTCCCTCTTTTATCGTAAATTCGACTCCCTTTTGTTTAACATCGTGGCGATCGTATCTCAGTGGACTCGTGATAGCAGCTAGACTCATTAAACCGAGGCTTCTTCGCGATATAAATAGGACTTCTTGTCCCGTTGCACTACGGAAGGAGCAAATAGATTATCACGCGTACCGACGACTTCTCTCCGTTCGTCTCTTCTTTCGCTTTCTACTGTTCGGCCATTCTCTTTCTCTCTATCTCCCTCCTCTCCTCTCTTCTGTCAGTTTCTTTTGCTCGCGTAGCACCATCACAAGTTTTTCTCTTTCTCTCTCGAAGAGAAGCCGGTACGCGCGTGACTTTCTATTTGGCGTAGACAGTGCCAAATTGTCAAGTAACTAAAATTACCTTCGAAGGTGTACGCGTGTCTTTCTCTTTTTCCCCCTCCATTACGTATTTCTCGTAGGTTAACCCTTTGCTTTTTTCGCGGACTCGTGCCACGAATCCTTTTGCACGTCAGATTTAATTTTCCACCCTGTTAATTAGAGAGGATTCGACATTATTCGACTTTTCGTGTTTCTCAAATAATACGTACTATTTGAACAATTTTTTTCAGAGATTTTTTTTTTTTTATTTGGAATTTTTCTTGTTAGAAATCTAAATGACGTAGTAATTCGGTGTCGATTTGATATTATTAAATGTTAGTTTAGAATTTATTTTTTTCATTTTTGAAAGTAATGTTTAAATTTTGATTGATTGAAAATATCAAATCGGTGCAAGGCTAAACGATACTTATCAAATTTTATTTTAATTATTACACAAATTTTATGATAATTTTATTACAAAAGATTTATTAATGATTTGTATATTTAAAACTGATAAATTTCTTAAATTTCTTTATATCTTTGCAATACAATTATAAACTTCAATGGGGTTTTACGACCAATAAATTATAAATTCCCTCCTTTTAATTTGATTATTTCATCGTTATCAATCTTCATCTAGTTAATCTTCATCCATCATGATGTTATTTTTAAGATTTTTATTCTGACTACAGAATTTTGCATATCATTCATGATATTACAAACAATTTCAGCATCATCATTTAAATATTACAAATGCGTTTTTTGCATCTCAATTTCTCTCATTCTTCTCAATTCTTTTTAGAATGCATTATCGTTAATACAAATTGAAGATTATCAAATTATAATAATTCCTATGATTTTCAATATTAATTTTTCAAAAACGAAATTTCATTTTAATCTTTTTAGAAAAAAAAAAAATATATCGAATTCTTGATCCAAAGTTCAATGTTGCATTTAAATTATGAAATAATTTAATTCGGCCGCTTCTCTCGAGTGTTCATTAATTCAGAAACGGGTCTGGGACCTTAACTCGATGATCGGCACGTGTGCGACTAACGACTGGCCTATTCGACCATCTAGTGACCCTAATAAAACCTATACAAAAGGTCGTTGTTCCTAGATCGATTTACGAAAGGTCGAACGTCTCGACCAGATTTTCTCAGCTTAAATCGAGTTCCAATAGAAAACTAATTTAAACTGTTATCTTTTAGGATTGAGTTATGTCTATCGTTTTGTTATTGATAATAAAGTATTAATGTAAATTTAATTATTATTGAAATTATAAAAAAATAAAATTATAAAATATAAAAATTATTATTGAAAAATTTGAAAAGAAACGATCTTGTTAATTGTTAATTGTCTTTTTTTGTAATATTAATTGTCTTTTAATTGTAATTGTCTTTCAGAAAAATTTTTAATTATTTTTCAATTATTATATTCATTCGAATCATGAAATGAACAAATCAAGATAGATATTGGACAAGAATAATTTTTATCAATAACATCTTATTTGCATATAAAAGCAAAATGAAATTTAAATTTATTTTTC